GTGCCAAAAACTATCCCTTGACATGTAAACCTATTCTCCAATTATTTCTAGAAAATGTTCCAAGTCAAAACAGAAGCATAAAAATTTATGAAAAAAAAATACTTTCTACCTATCTCTTCCATCAAGAGCAAAAGCATTTCCAGCCATTGAGGTGTTTAGATAGGATTTTTCTGTTGCTTCTGAGTTGACATAATATCTGGCTCAGAGTAATAAAAAAATAGATTTTTACTACATTATTTAAAAATCGAAAACTAAAAATGAATGTGAAAAAAAATAAATCAAATAAAATAAAGAAAAACTCTGTTATGCACATCTCTAGTGGTATTGTGACAGGGCAACATAGAGGATTGAATAGTACTATCTTGTGTTCTCAGATTAAAGCAGTTTCTTCCTTCATGCAAGAAGAGATGGGCTGAAAAGTTCATAGACTGACTATGAAGGAATTACACTAGAACTGTGAAATCTTGGATGCATTAATTTAAACTCTTCTTATTAATAACTACATTGTTTATTTCCAGGTATACTGATAACTGATTGTTCAAAGAAGACTTCAAAAGTAACTAGAAGTGACTTCTCTTGAAAATGTACAAAATTTGACATCTTATTTTTTGAAGTACCTGTAGAAAAAGGGTTTAGTCACCAAGGACATTCATGCTGATGTGGTTACTACATTAGAATATGATGCTCCAGCTTTAGCAACATTGCAAAAGTAGGCAGATGAATTTACAAGTGGAAGGAGGAGTCTTGAAGATGACCCAAGGTCTGGATGGCATGAAACTGCTACCACTGAGGAAAACATTGCTTGTGTTCACCATATGGTGATGGATGACAGGTGATTATAAATCATATAGCCAATGCTATTAGAATATCCTGTGAGAGAGTTGAGAATATTCTGCACAATGAACTTGCCATGATGAAGGTTTCTGCTCAGTGGGTATCACATCTTCTGACACCAGCTCAAAAGCTCACACTTAAGGAAATCTGACATTGTTTGAAGCAGATCCAGCTGGTTTTCTGTGAACGTTTCCTTGTTTCATCAGGGCAATGCTTCACACAAGTCCTTGGTTTCAATGGCTGGTGTGTATGACTGTGGTTTGAACTGATTGATCACTCTCCCTATTCTCCTGATTTCTCTCCTCTACAATTCTTCCGCAAATCTCTCAACTCACTGCGACAACAGTCTCGTGACTCTCTCGACTACAGTCTCTTTCCCCCGACTCTGCTTTATTAGCAAAATCTTGAGTTAATATAGAAAAAGGATCAGCTGATCACAACTGACCCTCGGCCTGGCACACAGCTACCACAAGTGCCAAAAACTATCCCTTGACATGTAAACCTATTCTCCAATTATTTCTAGAAAATGTTCCAAGTCAAAACAGAAGCATAAAAATTTATGAAAAAAAAATACTTTCTACCTATCTCTTCCATCAAGAGCAAAAGCATTTCCAGCCATTGAGGTGTTTAGATAGGATTTTTCTGTTGCTTCTGAGTTGACATAATATCTGGCTCAGAGTAATAAAAAAATAGAAAATGAATGTACTGAAAAAAAAGGTTTGAGAAAATAACACCTCAAGATTATTTTCAACTAATCAGAAGGCTATAATTTGAAACCTGAGACAATTTTGTAAAGTAGTTTATTGAGTTGGCCAGAGTCTTTAAGATTCTGTTCATGAGTGAGTAGTTAGGGAGACATTAAGTCAACAGATCAATTAATCTTAGCAGTAAGTTAAGAAAAGAGGAAGTTGGATTCTGGGATACCCCATGACCTGCAAAGGACTCCGGAACAATACAAAACCTAAAAACAGTTTGTTTGTTTGTCTGAAATGAACACACAACCAAACCAAGTCTTTTTTTAATATGAAAACAACTCACTCTCTTCAATTATTATTCTACAAAGCCTTACCAACTTCTGAAAGCTTCTTTTTTATCTACCTAGCTTAATTTTTTTAGGTGCTCAAAAGAATATTTTGAGCAACCCTCTATACATATCTTCCTTTTCACATAAATTATTCCAAAGTAATAATTTCTTTCTGTTTCATTTTTATACTGAGTAAGAGTTCTTTTATATGTATGTGTGTGTATGTATGTACTTAAAGAAGTGTCTATCTATAAACAGACATATTTTTCGTTCATGGGATACAGTCATCTGTGTCACGTGACTGCTGCTTAGTGATATCACTCCACACAGTACACAAGTGACAGTCAATTTAATTTGGTTTACAGGAGTCAAATGAAGCAGTCGTTTGATAAGCTTGGGCCTCTTGGCCCAGGCTGAGATTAAATTTGCCTTACAAGTCCACAGCACCATTTCACTTTGAGAATATATCTTCCCCAGTTACAGAAAGAAACTATCTCCAGCTAACATCCTCAATTTGGCAAAACTCAAGACTTACTGTTTCCAGTTTGCTTGGGACATAGTAGATGAATCTGGCTCGACTGAACCTGGAATCCTAAACATGGCTTCTCCAGAAACACAGAAGAAACTCCATATTATATGTAAGGTCCTATCTTTTTGTTCTCTTTTCATTCTGCTTGCTGTGTAGATATATTATATTTTTCTCTACATGGCACACATATAAATATGTAGACATAATTGTGTATATGACTTAGCATCATAAAACTCTCTCTGTAAACATAGCATGTTTGTCATTTCATTTCCTTTCAGCCATTCTGTTCTGTCCATGAAATACGGTGTTATTATATTGTTGATGTTAACAAGGTTGTAAGTTTTGTGTGTATTTTTAGGTGAAAGTGCATGTTCAATATATAAAGAAAGATAGAAGAAGTATACAAAAAAACTTGTGTTTCTAGTAGTTGACTGTATTGAAATAAAGTTAAATGGTCTCTTGAGTATGTCTGTTTTCATTTTGGTTCTGAAATGATTTATGGGAAGTAAGGAAACAAATGAGTAAAGCTGGTTGAGCTCAAGTCAGATTCACATTGAGTTGGGAAGACCGAACATTTACTTCATGAGCAGGGCTGACGATATCATTGACAAGTAAAAGACGTTCAATCATTAGTGAACCAAGGAAAACTGACATTCTCCAGTGGGAATGCTATTATTGTATGGTTCACATCTTGAAACCAAGAGAGATTCTATCCTTTTCAGAAATGGGGTTATAAAATTGCACATGTGACTAGAAACCCTTTCCAGTTTCTTTATAACATGCATCATGGGAAAATGTATTTATTTATTTTTTATTTATTGGTTTTATTTCATTTTACCTACAATATAATGGATATAATAATGCCCAAAATGGGGGAAATAAAAAGGAAGAATAAACTTTTCTTCCATAGCTCTCTCATTGGTGCTCATGGTGCAATATCAATTACCTGACATGTGATTATTATTATCACCAATTATCCTGTTAACAGTGGTGACCCTGACATGATGCACTGTTATGGAGTCATCTGTGTGTTGTTAATGTAAGTTACCTCCTGTTACATCTATTAGTAGTTGATAGAGGATTCCTTTTTTTATACTGAAAATGAAAATGATTAGAACATACAACAAAATACAACAAACAAGATTTTGTGACATGTGTTGAAATTAATAAGAATGTGTATTTTCGTGATGTTATTACAATACTGGTTTTACTTTTGTATATGTTAAAAATGTTCACAGAGTCTCTTATTCTTTTATAATTTTGTCTTACTTGCTTATAATCGCTCCGAAGATTTCATGGTTAAGGGATGCTTTTAAATACCATTAACTCTGGATTTTCACGGAGCAAAGAAAATGTGTCTTGTTCAATCTGTGTCGATCTCTCTCACACACACACACACACATTTGGTGGAATGGTTGCATCCCTTGTTTCAGACTGTCACTGGTGACAGTGGAAAAGCTATTTTTAGACTGATGAAATTTCAGATGTTTATTTTTTTAGATTTTTATAATAAAATTATAAAATATCATCATCATCGTCGTCACGAATCATAACAACCCCGAGAGCATTTTTATTGCTTGTGAGCTTTATTAAACGAAAATAACTTCCTATGTAATTTAAATACCGCACCCATTTTTTAACCCACAGAGATTTAATTTTAAAATTTTCAGTTTTTACTAACGAGAAAAAATGAAATAATGATGCATCAATTTTCGAATTCAAAGAAGAGCTTAAAATATGAGGCTAATTCGTAAAAAATAAAAATTTAAGACGAACAGGTGATCGTAATGAGATCAGTATTTTTTGTATGCACAAAAATCGTTTGAGACGTTAGTACACTTTTCTTTCGAATTTAGACGACTTTAACCCCGGATTTGACAACTCTTTCAGTTTCCTTTCTTCCTTTTATAATTTTTAAACTTTTCTTGCTGAAAGCCCGTGTTCAACAATTTTTGTGCCTTGTGGCATGCTAACTTCTGCTCCTGTTTTTCTCATATTTATTATTAAATAAATTTGTATACCATAAATTAAATATTTGCTACATTTTTACTCCCGTGTACTTTGTTTAACATTTTTCTGCATGTGTTTTTTTTTTTTTGAATGAATACATATTTTTTAAAAAGTAACGCAGAGCTTTTATTTTTTAAACCTGACTTAACTAGTTCATAGAAAATAAGCTTGATGATTTGATATGACAGCCTTTAACCATAATACTCTGCAATGAATTTACCTAAATGAATAAATCTTTTTAAAAACAAATTGCGGTATATCTTGGAAACAAAACATTTTTCTCGGTAGTAATTACAAATTTCAATTTCAGTCACTAAATCAAAACAAATCCTTAACTACACAATACGCTAACTATTACTATAAAAAAGGTCTCTGTTTACCTTAATCTGAATTCATATATTTTCTCCATCTATTTGTGCTTGTAATAACAATCTTCAACATCCCAACAATCGTGTCCCTGACTCCTTCCTTCGCTTTAACTATTGAATCACAAACAGCATCAGTCGTGTACTTCCGTTGCCAAGCAACAACAGATAAGGAGAGTTATTTCCCTTAGTTTAGCGCTTATTTCCGGTTATCAAACAGGCTTATGTTTATTTCAAGATGGTTGTGTCCAGCGTCGTCAAAGGTGTGTAAGATATTGAATGTACTATTAGTTAATCTATAACATTATTTTTAGCACAACAACATAGAAATCTATGTATATATACACTCTTAGTTTATGATTATTATTAATTACATGAGTTTGGAAATTATGTTACTCTATGTTTATGATATCGCTACTCCGGTATTCAACTGTAGTTCTCTAACCGGTCGCTTTTATTTTTTGAATTATTACAATTGAAATCGCAAATAAATGACTGTTGGTTGACCATGTTCTTTAAAATACCGTATATGTACAATTAATTTTTACAATTTTTAGATACGATATATAATTTAATTATTATTTATTGTAGAATTCTTTATTTCAAGTCTTTCATCGGTTTGTTTTAAAAACCACGTGGTTTAGGAAAATGAAAGCTTGAAAAAATATAAGAAAAGTTATTTTTATGCTAGCTGTTTTAATTCCACACATGAAATAACAACTTATACACTGTCTGTTATTTATTAATTTAAGAAATTAAATGTTTGCTATGTAATTAATAAAACGCCATTTATTGGCTTTTTATTTTTAAACAAATTATCAACAAAAGTCAAAAAATAATAATTACTTTTTTTTTTTTAAAACTATTTTCAAGAATTATTTTTGTTTGTACAATAGACTTCATTTTAATCGAATTAATTTTTTTTGTTGTGTACATATTAACAAATTGTCCAGCGAAAAACAAGCATAATTAAAAAATTATATATTCAACAAATAGAAAAAAAATCACTAAAAATAAAAAAAAGTAGTTGTTAATGCCATAATGGAAAATATCTTTCTGAAAGTTTGAATTATAACTACACAGTTCATTATAATGTACTAAGATATCTTTACATTACTTTTTTGAAACAAGTAAATGCTTAGATTTGAAGTTTGAACCAAATTAAGACTTCTAAATGATCAATTTTTTTAATATAGAAAATTTTTTGGAGTCTGTCTATATTTCTGAGATGAGGTATTATGTACAGTATTTACATTAGTCGGACTATTGTCCTCATCTTTGTCGCCATATTTGTCACAACGTTTCGGCCGTTGTACGCTCCGGCCTTCTTCAGGTGGTTGGAATTTCGAACTGAACCCTTTTTATTTCGATCACTGGGGTAGACTGTTCTAGTTCCACGTGCCATGTTTGATGGATGTCAGTTATCTCCTGCTAATTTTCCCTCTGAAAGTTCTCCACTGCCTTAACCAGGTATTGAACTCACCTTCTTTGGGTCTGTCACTGGATCTAACCAACGCCTTTATCCACTGTGCCATGTGTCCTCAAGAAAAACTTTTTTAAGCAAGTAAAGTCTAAGTGAACTGGATTCTTTTCAATTTGAAATCCACATCAGAGAAGAAATTAATTTTTCAGATCTGAATGTAGAATACTGTTGTCAATTTTTTATTGCAAAATTAAATTTCTGCTAAAATGTGATCATAGGCCACTAAATTTTATATTCAATCCAAGGAAAGAAATGCCTAAAATCACAACATCAGTGATATATCAATATGTGGATGCACTAACATGATTGCAATTTTATAAGGAGTCAAATGAGAACAGACAAAATGTTTGAAGGTACATTTCTACACCGGTTAAAGAATGGTTGGTGAAACTATAAAGACCCAGTATTAAGTAGAATAAAATGCAGAATTAGAAAGAATAGATGCAGTTCTTTAGCTAAAAGATCCTACAAGGTGGTAAGTCACAAAGTGGCAGTAGAGAAGGCAATAATTTGCAATGGTGATATGGTGGTACCTTCAGAAACACAAAGAAAGATCTTAATAAAGAGTGTACCTGATGACATACACTGTGGAATAGCATCTACTCAAAAAGGCTAAAGTTAGAAGGCTGGCAGGGTTATTCAAGAGATATGTTAGAATAAAAAAAAGAAATTTAACAAGAAGGGAATTATGTTTGCAAACTAAATCATTAGAATTCATAGGGAATAGTTCACATGGATCATGTATACATTGGTAAAGAATGGCTTTTTTTAATGTTAGTACAGTCCTTTTCAAGATAGCCTGAAGCAATTCATGTATCAGACAAAAGAAGTTCCAAGATAAAATTGTAGAAATTGAGTTCCCAAAACTCTGGTATCTAATGATGCACTAAAGTTTTGCAATGAAGAGCCCAACTCATGGCTTTTGACAAATAAGACTGAAGACCTTATAAGACACCTCCATATCACCCTCTGTCAAATGCTATAGCAGAAAGGATGGTACAAAAGCATGTTGGCAGCAAAAAGAGAAAACAGACTGATTCTATAGTAACAAAACTATACTAAATGCTGGAAGACTAGAGAGCCTATCAATGTCATATTATATAAATACAAAAAAAGTACAAAAGGAATAATTCTAATGCAAAAAAGGCATAGCAGAAAAACAAGTGAGCTGTATACTAGCCAATGCAGATCAACTAAGGTCCCGGGACAAAGATTGCAGAAATAGTGGAATAAAGGAAATAAAGAATGATAATCATAATGGAAATAATCAGGATATGCCTATACAAATGGAAACAGATAAAAATGATGGAGACGAAAATGTAGATCTCCAAAACAGTAAAGTTCTGATGAAGATCAATTGAAGGAAAATAGCCACTAACATAAAATTGTACAAAATGGATCAAGATCTCCCATAAATAGAAATACAATAAGGTCTATGGAAGGAGAGGGAGAAGTAGAGCAAGGAAATCCTCAAAATGAAACCGTGTAGAAGCAAAAAATTGACCAAGAGCATAAATCTCAGGTCAGGGAGATCTGATGATTCTTAAATGTAAGAATTTGATCAATTGTATATAGACAAAAGACACTCTATATAAATCTAAGTAGTCATGAGTAAGGATAGAATTAGTCAGTAGTGATTGTGAACACTACTATTACGCATTGTGACAGAGACCATCATTGTATTTGAAAAGTAGTGTATCATAAATAAAATGATTTTTTTTTTTTTTTATATAAGCTACAAGATAGGCTTGTTATGTTTTAATTAATCTGATTTATTGAGAATTGAATTTTTTTCTTTTTTTACATCAGGATATTATTTTCGGCTGAAGGACAAATCAACCCCATTGGATCTTAAACTGAAGTTAATCAAGTTTGCATGGAATAATGATTGCATTGTAATTGCAAACAAAGTTCAAGTTCTTCTTGATTGTATTGGTGGGCTCTTGATGAACACAAAAAAGTAACTATCCTTTTTTTTTTTAATCTCCCTTACATTATATTTACAACTGTTTCAAGAGATTTTAGAAAATAGAAAAGTTTAAGGCAATATTATAAACAACTTTATTGATTTGAAACAGCTGTCAATTAATGGTATTTGTTTCTTTATTTTAAACCATTTTGGATAATGATGGTAGAGAACCTGTGCTAATGTTAGCCTTTTATAAAAGTGATGTGTAAAAGTTACAAAAAGCACAGAATGCCCATGTGTGTATATATATATATATATATATATATATATGTGTGTGTGTGTGTGGCCTGACGATTGCATCTAGCGTGAAACAGCCTGTCGCCTCTGAGTGTTGACTTCAATGTTCACTTTTATTTTTATACTAGCAGTAAAGCCCGGCATTGCCCGGGGATGTAACAGTAAGAGATAGATCAATAATCATAGACTTATAGATCATAAAGACTGAAAAATAAAATTAACAAAGATTATTGTTTAAGGTTGACGGACACGCATGTCTTAATTTGTTTTTTTTTTTTTTTTTTTTTTTTTTTTATGAATTGGTCAAACCCAAACTCAAACAAAAACATTGTTTTCAATCGTTATGAGTCTACCGATTGAATAGAATTTTTATATAAACAATTGTCTTGTAAATGGAATTTTTAAAGCATTCTGGATGTAAAAATAAAAAAAAAAAGTGTGCAAGACAATAAGAAACACTACCTGCCAAAAAAAAAAGTGAAGTTTTGTTGAAATAGGTTGAAAATGTAGGAAATCGATCCCATATATAAACGAAACACACACACACACACACACACAGACAACCTGTTTTTTATAAGTATAACTTGATATGAGTTGTCCCCCTTGCATTCTTGTGATGCCTTTTAATCATGTTTTCAAATTGATTTCGTGCAAAAACAATTGTGTTTTTCCAATTTTTGGCACTGTCAGAACCACCACAAGGTAATTTTACGTAGTCCTGTGAAGTTTTGTTGAAATCGGTTGAAAAATGTAGGAAATCTGATCCAATATATAAATGTACAGACACACACACAACCTGGGTTTTATAATAAGTATGATTTACATAAGCTTTATCTCTGATATTGAGTACTTTATCCCATAAATATAGGACACCTTAAAACTATATTTCTTCATATATATATATATATATATATATATATATATATATATATATAGATATATATATGGAACCCAGTATAAATCTCACTTTATTCAGCAGAGGAAATGGTATGTTGAAGGTTTTTTTTAAATAGATGCAAAAAAAACACAAATTTCAGTGACGCTCATAAAGCTTGAAATAAACGCTACTATTCAGACAGCACAAAACCACATATTAAACAAACATAAAAAGAAATTAACAATGCTTAAAAAACAAACCCCTTTGAAAATGGCTAAAGAAGTGTCTGAAAGCATTTGGTACAATAGACAATACAGACAATTTTTGCACTCCCTTTATCTCACCAAACAGAAAAATGTAAGAATGTTGGAAAAAATGAAAAAAAACATTCATCAAATTTTCCTTGTTTGCCGTAAACTATGTTCAATGAAACATATTTTAGGGAAGGGTTGCTGCCCAAATATACATCTTATTCATGTGTGTGTGTGTGTGTATATATATATATATATATATATATATATATATATATAATGAACACATAGGAAAACCTTTATAAATTTCACATATGCTTTTATTTTTGCGTCATCAAAAATTTTGGGGGAATAAGAGGTAAAAATTCTGATAAAGCGAAAAATTAAATAGCAATTAAAGGTTTTCCATAATGCTCTTTATTTTATCAGATTTAATCCATATTTTCATATATATATATATATATATATATATATATATATATATGTGTGTGTATATGTCAGATGTTTATTTTTACATATACAGGGTATGATGGGTAAATTGTCGCCATCTTATACTTTTAATTTTGCACATGTACGTTGTTTGTTTCTCATTTTATCAACTGCGCAGTATAGTAGGGTCAGTTGGGCACTGTTGGTGAGAAAAGGAACACTGTGATGCAATTCCAGAAATCTGGAAACATCATGCTGTACTGCTTGGCATTCACACTGGAAGTTACAATACGAACATCTCAGTGTGTTTGGGTGTCAATCTAAAGACAGTGCAGAAGATTTGGAAAATGTTGGATGAGTCTAATGGTGATTACAAAGGTGTTTGGTGTGATACACTAGTGATGGCAACATTATGCCTCCATTCATCTTCCTTCAGGGCCTCAGACCCAACATGGAGGCCTACATCAAGTGCCTTGAGGAGCTAGTGCTGCCCTGGGTAAAGAGGGTGGTTGCTAGAAGGCCCTATGTCTGACAACAGGATTCTGCACCAACCCAATCATGGCTGTTAGACAATTTCTGTGACCACATTATCTCTTACATTTGGCCACCTACCTCCCCCAACTGCAACCTCCTTGATTATTATGTGTGGGGTGCAGTTGATCAAGAAACCAACAAAACTCCTTGTAAGATCAAAGATGAATTGCAGGCAAGGATTATGGCAGCATTCACCAACTTAAACAAGTAGACTGTCCAGAAGAGTTGCAGAAGAATCTGAAGTCATCTAGAGATTGTGGTTGAAGCCGATGGCAATTTGATTGAATAAATCTACTATTTAGTATTTCAAGATATTTTTGTAATTTTGGTAAAATATCTGTTATAATGTCAGTGTTATTTTAATTTTCGCTTAATTTAGACGACAATTTATCCATCGCACCCTGTATGTGCATAAAAGATAAAAAATATCTCTGACTAACAATAAGTGAATAAAATAGCAAAACTTTTTGTGATAAATTTTATTCAAAGTAGGAACTTTTTCAGCTAACAACAATTTTATTGATGGAATCAGTTTTATATTTAAAAGTCTAACTCACATTGATTTTATTTCTTCCACACCTTTGTCTTTTATATATATATATATATATATATATATATATATAAAATTCAGATTGGAATCAAACAGAATGAAAGGATAACAAATAGGGGACTTTTATCAATCTAACATGTTATTGTGGTATTTTTATTTTTGTGTTTGATTTTCATTGGTTAAGCTTAATAAAGAAATTTAATATCTTAGAACCTAACCTCAAATTCATACATGAATTTGAAATTGATAAATATTTAGCTTTCCTCGACATCTTAACACATAACAATTGTGAATTAGATTTTAGAGTTTACCACAAGCCCACTAACAAAAACAATCTTATTAATTTCTATTCCCACCACAGTCAAAAAATAAAATCAGGATTAGTCATAGGATTCTAGCCCAGAGCCCAAATAATATGTAGCCCAGAATACCTAGATGAAAAAGAGAAATATATTGAAAAAAACATTTAGATTTCTTTACTACTCACATCATTTCATCCTCAATGCTAGAAAACAAGTGTACAAGTTTGATAAATCGCAAAAATTAGACATTTCTCCAATGACACTTCTAGCATCAACAACACAAAGGGACATATGTATGGACAACTCTTTAAACTGACTCATAATACTGGTTATAACAACTTTGATTTTACAAATGCTACCCTAATTAAAAAAGAACATAATTTTTTTATGTTGAAAATACTTGGTGAGAATCCTGATAAATATCTTGCCAACTATAAACACGTCAAAACTATATTAAATCCATTCTTAAAGAATCGAACGTATATTTATCTACCGGAACCAGTGTTTATGTAAATATGTCCCCAAATCAACTTGCAGACAACCAGCAAACATAAATAATGCATACTAGATACACGCACAAACAGAATTTCTTTTTCTCTATATCTCATTCTCTGGTGAATCTTTAATAAAAAGGAAACGCGTTAGATTAATAAGTATTTCCTATTTGTTCTTTGTCCTATCAAACTTACACAAACACACATTCCATCAATAAAACTCATTAGCCTGAAGAAATTCCTTCTCTGAATAAAATTCATCACTGAGAAGATTTTCTATTTTGTCATTGTTTTTCTCTCTCTCTCTCTCTCTCTCTCTATATATATATATATATATATATATATATATATATATATATAGGGTGTATCAAAAATACTTTTACAAACTTCGGGGATGGGTTCCTAACACCAGAACAAGGTAAAATGTCCATATAAACATGTCCAAAAGGCTGTTGTACCTCAACATGGCAACTCAAATGTTCAAAATGTCCTCTGCTTGCTTTTACACACACATATGCCTGTCAGATCATTGACTGGCCCCCATGACATGTTAATGAAGCATCTCTGCATTATTAATGTCTGCTGTGTAAACCAATTGTTTTAGCTGTCCCACAAATAAAAATCCAAATGATTGAAGTAGGGGTTCATGCAGGCCATGGAACTGATCCTCCCCTACCTATCCATCTTTCATGGTAGCTGTCAGCCAGTGCATCACAAACAATGTGACTAAAATATGCATCTTTATATTATCAAGAATACATCCTCTAGCAGGTCCAAAAGTGTGTTCAAAATAAAGTCCTGTGCACAGCTCCTGTAAGTCATGCTGGGGGAACATATGGATCTACCAGCCAGTCACCTACAATTAAAGTGCACATATTAATCATAAACTGATGCGGGTGTCTTACCTGTATTGTACCATGGGGATTCCGATCCACCCACAAATGTGGTTGTGTAAATTTGTTATTTCATCTCTTCCAAATGTTGTTCATCCATAAACAAGACTGAAGAGACAAGCAATAGATCAGCAGTTTGTGCAATAAACTATCAACAAAAGTTCTCTTGTGGTGAGTGATCAGAAGGAAAAATGTCCCTGTGCACATTGCAAATGATATGGATACTCTTAAAGTACCCTCCATGTGATACTATGAGATGTACAACATGCTAGGGCCACTTGATATGTGCTGATACCTGGATCATCTCCAACAGCCTGTAGAATGCGTTCTTTGTGGTTAGGCATACAAATGGATCTCGGTCTTCCTCAATCCATAGTTTGTGATGCCACAGATCCTGTCTCAGCAACATGACAATAAACAGCAGCAAAGGTTGGATGATTTGGCTGCCCTCAGTCTGGAAACACACTCTGATACAGCTGTGAAGACTCACATTGTAAAAATCATATCTGTCTGCTCACAATATAAATATCCTGCCATTGTTAAATGGAACACCTCTCAGTTAATTCATTACTACACATATTAAACACTGAAGACAGATTATCCACAAATGTACATGAATAACAAATTTAACCTAATCTACATGGCACCACAGCACCATCTACTATAAACTTTTTAAAACTTGCTGTTTTTTTTGTTTTTGTTTTGTTTTTTATTGCATTTTCATCTTGTTCAAATGGACATTGTGATTGTCACATTGCATAATATAACATTGATAACATTTCTTGACTAACAAGACAGTTCATTCTGTGGTTTTATTTTTCAACATGAGTACTTTTTTTATACTTCAAACAACTATAAACAATTTATTTGTTTTTCTCCCAGGAATGTCCTGTCTGATGAAGAAATTGGGTCTATATGGGAATGCCTTGATTGGTTACTTCTTTCCAATAAAGTAAGAAGTAGCAAAGAAACATTTGTACTAAAACCATCATTTAGTCAGGTGAGGTAGCACAGCCTTTTTATTTTGTTTGTGAAAATGTTATTTTTATTGAATTTACATATTTTCTTAAGCCTTAGTCACTTTCATTAAAGATACAATTTTTTATGGCATCTGTAATTTTTTTTCTGTGAAGGGAATGGATCCAAAACTGATTGCCAAAAGATTTCTTTGAAATTTGTTGTACATATTTATATTACAAAATTTAAGAATCCTATTGATTCTTTCTGCACTAATTTTGCAGTTAAATTGTTGGATTGCTGAAGATTTGCATCCATAAAAAATCATTCTTCTAAGAGGAAATCACTGACTTTATTAACTGTTCACTTAAAAGATGCCATTAGTATTCAGTAAGCTTAATGCTGAGTCATTTCATGTTTGTAGAATATTTATTAGACCATCCGCAGATTGCTTGAGGCATGAAACTGACAGTCATCATGCAATATTGATTCTTACGTACACACACACACACACATATATATATAATCACTCTCTAATATTCAATAGTTTACCCCATAAATATAGCAAATTTTAAAGAAATTTATTATACTTATCTGCAAATGGATAAGAAAAACTTCATAAATAGCATTTAATATACCATGAGTTATCTCCCTTCAGAAATTAGCTCATTTGGAATGTGTCTGCAAATGTAGACTCCACAGTATCAAGCCGCAAATTGAATAGATTTCTTTCTCTAATTTAATGGTATTGCAAGAATTTCGTTAAGATGTTGCTTTTGAATTCAAAACATTTCGATACATATTATTCAGAAAATTGATTAAATAAGTGAAACTGGTAATGGTATTTCAGCAGATCTTAATTTAGCATTTGAATTGTTGCCATATACACAACTAACAGGGGCCACAGCATGTTTCATAAACATAAAACATTTTCTTCTTTAATACAGGTCAGCATGAAAGTGCACAGGTTTCATTAAGAGTTAGTGGAAACTGGCTATTTTCCACCTAAAACTAGCTATTTTTCAAAGGTTGACCAATTTCACCTTTGTACACCATTGTGTCCTCTCATGGCCAGGACCTTTGATTCAACACACTACTTTCAGTTTCCATCTGTAACATTCATATTTAATGAAACTCTTGAAAGTGGATTAATTAGATAGTCATTTAGAATGATGTTTGTAGAAAAGAGCACATTATTTTTTTATTATGACTATTTTTTTTTCCTTTTCAAAATTTTGCACCTGAGGTTACTTCCCCAGTGGCCCCACTATATCGCAGCTAATCTGAGATTCTAAGACCTGAAGTGGGTTCATGCCTTTCCCAATGATATGAGTGCAAGGGGAATGCAAAATGTTCCAGTCATAGTTTGATATGTAATCATTACAGTGACTGTCTTTATTTGTTTAATAAAATCTATTTATATACACATGTATAAAATATTCATAATTAATGTAATTCTTACTTGTTGATTTTTTTCAGGCTGTTATTCTTACAATGAACAGGCTAACCACTGAAATTGTGCCTTATAAAAGCAGCATTTTAAGATGCTGCAAATCACTTTTCATGTCTCCAGCATTGTCGTATCTCTTTACATCTAACATCCAAAAAGTGGTATGTAACATCTTTTATTGTCATTATATTCTCACATGTGAACGTTTGGTACATATTTCACAGCAATTTCCTGAAAACAATTCTTTAACCCTTAGGAGATGACAAGGCTGAAAAAGTCAAATGACGAAGAAGATAACTAGGCTGGGCCATCAGCCCGATAATACAAGCCTTGAGATTAGTTGGCTGGTCTTCATACCAGCCAATCAAATTGTTTCTCGCATTTCTTGCACATCTGGGCTTTTCAATGGCAGTTCGTATGATAGTTTTACTATGTTCTGTGATTTTATATTGATTTTTTTTTTTTCCAAGTGAGGACTTGTGAAAAAGGCTGTGTCTTCTTGGCACTGAAACTCTAAATGAGGCTCTGTCTTGCAATGTTATCAGTGTACACGCTAATATGAACATCAGACTAAATCTCTCATATGTAAAATTATTGATTATTCACCTCCAGATTTTGGCAATATTAGCAAGTAGGTGTGTGGCTTATGGGATTTTGTTTAAATGTGGATCTCCCTCTTGTGAGAAAAACTATCTTTTTCATATGTATATCTTTTTTTTTATTGTCTATCTTTCAGTTATGCCACATCCTAAATGCAATTGGGTCTACTACCTGTTTACATATTGGAAGCAGTCACTGACATCCTGTAAAGTGCAAATTTGCACCTGGTGACTAGGAGGTTACCTTCCAGGTCAACCTGTTGATGCACCTACCTTCTCTGATGCTACCCCGAGTGCAAAATCTGTTTTGTTATCCTCTGGGGTGACCATATTACAAATTGGGGTTAACACAGATCATCATCTCTTAGTCTCTTTATTGACATTAAATTTGATTCAGATTATTTGGTATTTATTGGTGTAACGGGGGTTTGATTTGTTGAGTGGACATAATGTGCATTATCCCATGTTATATGTATTAGTAGTTGATAGAGGATTCCTTTTCTCTTTTTTTACTACTGAAAATGAAATGAATAAAATGTGCAACAATAACAAACAACAATGAGACCTTGAGACACATGTTGAAATTAATGACAAGAATGTGTATTTTTTTTTTCATGAATGCTATTTACAATATTGGTTTTGTGTGTGATAAATGTTCTCAGGGTTATTGTCTGTTTATGTTTCTTTAACATTTGGGCTTGTTTATAATTGTTCTGAGAATTCTATGGTTAAGAGAAGCTTTTGAAACCGTCAACTCTGAATTTTCATGGTGTGAAGAATATGAATCTGTGTTGTTCTATTTACTACTGCTCTTGCTTGTGATGAAAGGGTTGTTTATAATGATGACGTTTCTTTATTTCTAGAATGATAAAATATCATCATCATCAATCATAACACTGGCATGAATCATATTCCCTATTCCGCAAGAGGCCATAGCACCTGTTAGGGTCCTTGCTATGGGCAAATAGAGAAACAAACAAACAAAAACACTATATGTAAAAATACATTTTAATAATAAAAATACCAGTAATACATTTTCATATATAAAAAAAAGACCAACAACACATATAGTAAAATGATCAGCAATACTTTTTATCTGTAGTTGAAGCCATAAAATTGTATTCAAATTATCTTGATTACAGAATTAAATAACCCATTGTGGTTGATATAACACTAAATAAAATCAGCCAACCAACACATTCAGCAATACATTATAATGAACTGTTCACAATTCTGTTTTGATTTTCAGTTTATCTAGTATTTGCATTAGATTTTTTTCTCATCGTGTTATGTTTCCTGTTTCCAATAGAAATAACTTACTTTCTTTCAAATTTTAGTCAACCAAACAATATTTTACCTTTCTTTGGAAGTTGTTTTGGCAATTTTTAGTTGAAATTATATTTAGTAAAGACTCTTTTAAAAACTTAGCTGTACTTAAAGCTTCATACTTTCAAAAAATATAATTTTAAGAACTGCAACTTTTGAAAATCACCTTGGGAAGACAAAAGCAATCACTGCCTTATCCTTAACATAGAACTCTACACTCTACTCTTCCCATGAGTAATAAAAATACTTTTATTAGACAGATTACGATTGTGATTGCAGTAAAGATATTTTTTATTTAATTGATAATTTTGTTTTTTTTATGCTTTCTTTTATTTACACTATTTACATGTGGATTATTGTCCTCATCTTTGTTGTTGTTATCACAATTTTATGACTTATATATGATGATATATTTTGTTAAAAAATTAACACTTGCTAAGGAAAAAGTACATATTTTAGCACACAATAATGAATAAAAAATAAACTAAAATTAGGATAGAAAAGGTATTGATCTCTTATTTTAAGACTTATTTGCTTAGCCCTTGCTTGCAATTACTACTTGCAGATGTTTTTCATAATCTTTCACAACTTTCTCTTGAAATTTTGGTCTTTTTTCCTTGGAAATGACTTTAAAATCATTAATATTTCTGGGATGTATCTGATTATTTTTATCTTTCAAGCTTCACCATGTATTTTTACTAGGTTCCAAGCCAAGAGACTGAGAAGGCCACTGAAATACTTGTTCTGAACAAACAATTCATGTTAGATGTTTTGGGTTGTTGTCATGTTAAAAGATCCAGCCCTGTTCTTAATCATCTTTGATCTTTCAAGTTACCATTGGATTCACTTTGACTTAATGTGTTTAAAATCACTTGTGAACAAATTTTTCTTTTCTAGACTGTTCTTTACAATTCATTTGAGAAACATGCAGAAATTGTAAAAAATGTGTCTATGAACATAAGAGAGACCTTATAAATAATTTAATAAATACACTAGTCATTTACAGAAATAAATTCAACCACAATTTTAATCTAAAACAAATGCCACATTCATCAAAAGAGAATGTAGTTTACTCAGAAGGAAAATCCTTGAGAGTGCCAACATCAATATATCAATCTCTGCCCTTTTTTTCCCAATCTCACCTTTCCTGAAGGAATTATAACTTTCCCAAATCAACATACACAAAAGATGTGTTGAAAAATCAAAGGAAAATGGCTGAATCCATCATTTCAACTTTCAGAGATGTACAATACAAAAAAGATTTTTCTTTTTCAAGTATGCTGTATGACATAATCTCAGATCTAAATGCCTACACATTTCAGTTAACCTGTTGAATCTTTGAATGAGCATCTTTAAATTAAAAAATTTCCTTTCAAAGATGCTATATGACATATTCTAGCTTCTAACATCTTAACTTTTCAGTTAACCTGATGAATATTTATGAGCATTCTTAAATTTAAAAATTTTGCGTATCTGTCAAATATTTACTTGTTGCAAAATAAAACCATTAAATTGCCTTGATAATGTCCGTTAGATGAAACATGTCAGCTAAGTATGGTTTTCCCCTTGTCTTTTCATTCATACATATATATATATATATATATATATATATATATATAGGCAGCATATCTTCATTCAAGCATATTTCATTGAATATTATGTCTATTTATCTATAATAATCCTTTCCAGTTCTCTAATCAGTTTCTTGATATACTTCATCAAGGAAGGCACTATAGTTTTTTCCTGCCCAAGTACTTTCAATCTCTTCCAAGATCATCCTCAGAGTGAATTATAAAGACAAACTATTGTAACTGTGATCATTGTGATTTTTAAAAAAACATGCGTCAACACAGTCTGTTATAATTATTTTAAATTTACCTATTGTAGCTGTAGAATTTTTTGAAAAACAAGTGTCCCAGGATTATTATAAAAATAGACAGACATAATATATGTATATTATTCAATGAAACACACACACACACACACACACACATATATATATTTAGACTTAAAGCCAAAGTCATACTTATGCATTTTTCCCTAAAACAGCATCTGTGTATTTTTGTTATGTAGTAGATAAAGTTTCAAATAAATCATCTACATTTCCCTATAATTTCTGTAAAAGAACTTGTTTTGTTTGGAAGGACCTTCAAGTTATTAATGTAGCCAGCAACTCTGAATCATTTCAAATCTTGTATATAAAAAAAATATATATCTTTGTGTGAAATGAATGCATTTTAAAGCATCTTGTGTTTCCTTTTTCTTTCTAGGTATCCATTTTATCAGTCATATGCACTGTAAGTATTCGACAATTACACAAAACTGGCAGTCTTGATCAATCTCTTCAGGAACTATTGTCTATCCTAACAGACGTTTATAATAAAGGTCAAAGGACAAATCCCAACCAAAAGAAGGCAAGTAAAACCAAAAAAAAAAATGGTTCCCTCACATAAAGAACAACAGTAAGTTTAAGTATTAAGCTAGCATAAAAGTTTTAGTTTTTGATCTTATATGGTATTAAAAGCATTTAGTTTTAATAAACATTCTTCAGAAAGATCATTTTTTATTGTATTTTGTCTGCTATCATATCCAAATACATTTTTTGAAATTATCAAACTTTATATATTTTTCTCATATTGAAGGTGAAAAAAACCATTTCAGTATTTTATACTATTTTAAGAAAAGTATGTGTAGTTTATGGAGAAGATACTGTAAATAGTTAAAGATGTCAAAAGTGGTTTGCAACCAAATCAAAATGTGAGAATAATTTTATATGATTCAGGATAAAGCCAACATACTGAAACTTTCCAAATCAAGTGTTGAAAATTATTTGTATCAGCTTGGTTAGGTTAGTTTCTTTGTTCCACGGCTTTTGTATAAGTAGGAGGGGAAAAAAACAATTATAATTATGTGCTTTCCTTGACTAAAAAAGAAATGGGAATTTTTGTTACTTTTTTCTTTTTTTAAATTGTGATGGATGATGAAAAGTGGCTAATTTACAGCAATGAGTGATGCAATAGATCCTGGGGCAAGTGAAATGAACTACTCTGAATCATATAAAAAAATGTCTCCAAGCAAAAAGATGATTGGAAGGGTACCTTTACTTCCTCCTGAGAACCAAATGATTGATTCAAACAAGCACTACTTACAAAAATACCCAGAATTAGTCAAGAGAAAGTGTAATATTATGTCAGAGTAATGTGAGATTATTATTTTTTGTTGTGACCAGACAAAACTTGGGTGATAAAATTTCACTCATCTGTTATATTCACCAAATTACCATTTATTCTGGTCTTTACAGAATTGTCTTAATGGAAAACCTGAACCATTAGCATTTAAGAGTGTATTGACTTGGGAGGTTGTGATAAAAAGCAATAATAAGGTGCAGTAAAATTAGTAATAAAATAGTGATGAAATGTTAAAAAAAAACAACAAAAATAATAGAATGGAAAAATATTATTAAGAAAATATATTGAAAATCTTTAATCTAGAAATTTCAAAATCTAACAAAATATTTGCATTTCATAGAGTCAATAATTCCATGAAATAAAGAAGTACATGAAAAAGTGTTTAAGATGGTTACAAAATATTAAGCATAATAACTGATAAAATAGCACATAATTGAATATGTTGCTAGATTTACAAAATTATTCATCTAGGAAACCTTTCAAAATCAAAAACTTGAAGTTGTACTGTATCTGTATTCTATTTAAATTAATGAAAACCTTAATTTGGTTTGACACTATATAAACTTTCTGATATAAATTATTTACTTGTTACATTTTTTTGTATGCCCCTTATACCAAGTTTATTGATATTTTTTTTTAACATTTTGAATTTCAGGTTTATGATATGTTCTGTGACAAACTGTTCCTCCCTTGTGTCATTTTGAAATTTCTGTGTAAGTCTCACCTTGAGTACGAAGGGATTTCATGTTCAATAACAGCCATCATGGAAAATACTTTGCTAGACAAGTGAGTAGAAAATTAATTTATATTTTCATTAGGAATGGACAGTTTGTTGAATCAAGTACAGTGTGTGATGGATAAATTGTCATCTAACTTATGCAAAAATGAAAATAACACGGATATCTCATTTTAACAGATATTTTTACCAAAATTACACAAAAATATCTTGAAATATTAAAGAGTAAATTTATTCAATAAAATTGCCATTGGCTTCAACTACAGCCTCCAGACAACTTTGGAATCTCCTGCAATTCTTCTGGATGGTCTTGTTTAAGTTGGTGAATGTTGCCATAATCTTTGCCTTCAGTTCATTTTTTGGTATTACAAGGAGTCTTGTTGGTCCCTCACTCAACTGCATCCCACACATCATAATAAAGGGGATTGCAGTCTGGTAAGTTAGGTGGCCATACGTAAGGGGTGATGAGATCACAAAAATTTTCCGACAGCCATGACTAGGTTCTCTTGCTTGTGTGGCATGGTGCAGAGTCCTGTTGCCAAACATAGGATCTTCCAGCAGCCACCCTCTTGATCCTGAACCGCACTACCTCCTCAAGGCACTTGATGTAGGTTTTGTGTTGAGTCTGAGTCCCTCACCAACAAATTTGGGAGTTCTATTTTTATCAGAACGATCAGAGTGAGTTTTCCGAGCTAATGATGAGTCTTATCACCATTAGACTCCTCCAACTCTTTCTGAATCCTCTGCACTATCCTCAGATTGACAACCAAACACTCTGAAATATTCGTGTAGGAGCTTCTGACACAAATGCCAAGCAGTACAGCATGCCATTTCCAAATTTCTGACAAAGTGAATTGTGTCACGGTGCTCTTCTCACAGATATGTCCCCAACTGATCCTACTATACTATACTGTGTAGCCGACAAAATCAAAAGCAAACAACGCGCATGTGCAGAATTCAAAATATAAAATGGCGACAATTTACCCATCGCACTCGAAAACTCTCCACCACCCTTTTTCTAAGTATTAAGATGGTGGCATCTGCCCTATTTTAAGGAAATATAAAATTTTGCACTATCAAATTATAGTTCATATATATTGTTTAGTTAAATAATAGCAACAAGTTCTATCAGATTTGTTGTTTTATATTATTGTTAAATTTGCTAAAGTTCATATTTATTTTTATTTTATATTATTTTTTTAAGTACTTTCGAATGTTGCTACATTCATTTTCAAGGATTGTGTTTTGTGTATATTTAGGCAACTGTTTTTGTTTAATTCCACCATTCTCACGTTTATTGGAACCAATTTCAAGTCACTCAAAGTGATGTCATTTAAATGGCCAAACTGGAATTTTTATGTGTATTTTTTTTTCATTTTCTTTTTAAACACACTTACATATACAATCCCCTATGGAGGAAGATACCTTATTTAATGTTAACTGCTTTTCTTTTATTACAACAGCCTCCAAAATTTTGAGTCTTTCTTTGCACTGTGTCCTATATAAAATTTTGTTATCTACTAAAATTTGTCTTTTATTTTACTTATTTGCTATATATTGATGTATATGTGTGCAAATTACTTTAAATTTTGACAAATGTCAAGTCAGTCTACAAGAGAGTGTGGTGCATGTATGGCCAATTTAAGAATTTAATGTTGATTGTTAGTGTTTGGAGATACAATCTCCTAAAGGCCATAACAATTCATAATCAACATTATTTTTGCATTGTATAAATGTTTGAAGTGATGAATTATTTCTAAGAATTAGATTAGACATTTTTAATTTTTTTTTTATAATAGATGATAAATGAAAGGTATTTGTTAAGATCAATAACTTTTATATACTGGCAGATTATAATTTTAATAGCATTTTTGTCCTGTTTATAATTAGGATGCATCTGGTTATAATAAAACGATTTAATGGAGTCTTTATTTTTGTTTATATGAAGTTGGTTACTTATATTATTTTTTCTAAATTTCTTTAAAAGTAATCTTATTTCTTCATCAAAAAAATGGTTTAGGAAATTATTGTTGATAAACATTTGTTTTATGTTGCTTAATTCTCTATAAAACAATGCACCCAAAGAGAAAATAATTTTCACATGATAAATTATGTTTTTTATAACACCTATTTTATATCTGTGTGGACATTCATTTTTATAATTAAGGAAACGTGAATTTTTACTAGTAGTTTTTTTTTATATATTGAAATGATCAAATCATTATTAGCATCTACTAGAACATCCAGGAAGGGGATTTTATTTTTAATGTTACATTCATAAGTGAATTGTTGAACTGAGTTACTTTTAAATGTTTCTTTAAGGGTTTTAATTCATCTATTTTCTGTTAATATGAAAATGTCATTAGTATATCTGGCATATATTGAGGGGTTGTTGAAATTATTAAAGACCTTGTTTACTACATGGCTCATGTCAAAATTAGATAAAGTAGGGCCCAGAGTCTTCCTGTCTTTCTCTCTCTCTCTCTATATATATATATATATACACACACACACACACACACGTGTGTGTGTGTACACGTCAATTAAAATGTATATTTCAATACAGCAGAGCTCATATGTATCATATTGTTTTCTATCCAATTCCAGACACCTGTATTTCATTTAAAGTACAATTTTCCTGTTGGGATTTCCTCAACATGGAATTAATATTTAATTTAATAATTTTCTTTCTGGTTTTAGGGATCAGTTTATTCATTATAACAGCTATTTGAAGATTACTTGTAATATGGAGAGTAGCGCTCACATGCCTAAGGTCATTGAAAAGTTTTTCAATCTTATGAAGAATGGTTTAACTGGACATGTAAGTAGAAGTGTATATTTCTTTCTATTTTGTAATCTATTTTTCCTACTCTTGGTCAGCAACATTTCCAAGAGCAATGACACATCATTAAAATGCCTGTTATAAGTTAAAGATATGATCACAGATAAAATTTATAGCTTTACTCACTTGTTTGTATGTTTTTCTTTTTTTTCTTCTTTTTTTTTCTTTTTCTTTTACTGTTTTGAAAGCAATGATAGGTATTGAAAAGTCCTCTGCCTGACCAAAACAGGATTAATCATTTGGCCTGATTTGTGGAAATGGATCAGGCAGAGAACTGTAACAGAGTTCATAGCTAACCTAGAAAACAGTGAATTATAAAGTAATTTTTTTAAGAAAAATCAGGGTTTTATCTGTGAATTTTTGTTTAACTGAATTTTCTAATGCAACTTGTCATGCATCAAATAATATGCTTATTATAAAGATTATTATCAGAGTCAAAATAAATAAAATGTTTGAAAATAAATGTTATTTATTTGAGATTTGTTTGTTTCCTAGAATTTTTTTATATAGTGATGTTCTTCTACAAGGCCCGAGAGGCATTTGATGTAGAGGGTTACAAAGTAAGAAGCACAGTTTATGGGGATATGTGGGGAAGATAACAGTTGACCCTAAACTTGAAACGGTTAAGATTGTTGTAATTGGGGAAGCATCCTCTTGAGACTTGGTTCCATGAAGGAGTGGTTCGTGGGAAGAAGCTGCTCAAGGGGAACACCAATTGAAGACGAAAGTGCGTGGCATGGCGGGTTTTAGCCAGGAAGATTAGAACTGATGGACACTAAAGAATATGGTTTGTCTGAACACTTTTCATTGAAAAAGTGATAGAGCAGCGAGAGGCTTGTGGCGTTTCATCTGTGATAAAAGGATTGTGGGTTGGGAAATAATCACCCACAAGGATGTGGAGGCACTTTTGGACTCTATTGAGACTGGAAAGTGAAGATTGGACACATCCGACCCATATATAGATTAGTAAAATTTGAAGAAACTATCAACTTTTAATCTTGAATGAATAGACCAGTCTTAATCTTGAATTTGCTTCATGGGTTATACCAGTGAAAGATGATACCAGTGAAAGATGATACCAGTAAAACTATGTGCTATTTTTGCCAAATTATATACTTAGTACTGTCTGTCTGTTATGTGATGTCCCAAAAGCAAAGACTCTTTCAGGAGATTGGAAATTTTTTAGGGAAATTGGGGATTTTCATTCTGTGACACTGAGCTGTCGGCCCGTGGTCAACTCCCAGTTGAGGCGCAAAACTGTAATAATTCTTCTACTGGCATTTTGGGGATGACTCTTAGTTGCTGCCACCAGCCTGTGTCCTGGTCGATCAGTGGTCGTCGCTACCCGGCAGAATCCTTTGGTCAGGGTACCAAGTGGGATGGCCGGTTGATGCTAACGGCTTCATACCAGCTCTGTCATTCCCAGCTCACTTCCAACATCTGGTTACTGAAGTAACTACTTCGATCTCAAGTCTAACCTACCCACGTTGTGATTTTGATCATAGGTAGACGAGATCAATCAGGCATTGGGCTGTAGTGTAAGGTGAGTCTAGACTGGAGGTGATATCACACAAGTGTAAAGAAAAAGAAGTAAATAAAAACCCAAGAGGTTCAAGTATGTTAAAAAACAACAAATTAACTTTATTTGTCTGTTATATACAGGAGTGTGTTTTTCTCCCAGCCTGTTTTCTACGGAGTATGACACTTTTGCACTTCCTAGACAAATTCTGGTCTTTTAAGTCAACTGGTTTAGTTGTTTGCTGGCTTAGATTTGTTCCTCAGTATAACTTGCTATTGGTAGGATAGGCGAAGTCAGAGGTCATGGAATCTCTCGGATAGCTTCTGCAAGGCAACACTCTGGTTCCTGCTACTCGAACTGAACTGGAACTCCTACTCAACTGTCGAACGACCCGAAGATGTTCGTTTATATTGGTATCAACCAAAAACTGGTCCAGAGTTAGATGCAGTCTGGGGTTTTCAGTAAATCTTGATTTCTGACAAGAAATCTCTTTGTTGTCAGGCCAGAAAAATTACTTACTTCCCATTTTTGAAAAATTAATCACTTTCCATTTTGGGAAATGAGGAGAGGTCAGAGGAGAGCTATCCTCCTAAACTCCTCCTCTCTCACATTGATACCTCGTACCAATCCCTTCAGTGGGTGTTAATAACTTCCCCGTCCTTTTCATCAAATTACCTCCGCCTATCACCATTGCTACCACTCGACCAGTGGTGTCCGACTGTGTCGGTGTGGCTAAGCTGGCCTCATTAAAATTATAACCCAGAATTTTTGTTTACAAAATTCTTTTCCCATCAGCCAAAATTTTTACGAATCACATATTGCCACTTAAAATCTCTCAGATGTTTTGGTCATTCTGCATCTTCTTAACCAGCACTCTTTACGAACTCCATCAATTACTCGTCAAAGTCTGCCATCTGATTTCTTCTTGAAATTAGCTTTTACTGGAACCCTTGGCTTCTTGAGAAATTAAATTTTTTTATCTCTCAATTTGGCGTTTTTCCAAGATATTTTTCTCATGCCAAAATTTTATAATCACCATATGGCCACCCAACATGTCGGAACCGAAGACGACATTGCGGATAAGTAAATAACATTAATTCTCTCTATCCTGTATCGGCAAATGGTTTCGGAATATTTTCTCATGCCAAAATTTACACAATTACCATATGGCCCTGCTTTGCTGGCACTTAAGAAAATGATATCTTGGGAAGATAATTAATATTGATCCTCTTTACCCCGTATTGGCAAATTATTTTGGAATACTTTCTCATGCCAAAATTTTTATAACCACCATATGGCCTGCCTGATATCTCAACGCTTTGCTGTTTCTGAATCTTGTCTTTTCTCAGCAAGCATTTTTTTACAAACTCATTAATCAACTGTCAAAAGCTCGCATATGGCCTTTCTGTGAGTCCACTGTCTATACCAATTTACAAGTCTTTGAGAAAGTAACTCAATTTTATTCTTAAGTTAAAAAAAAAAATGAAAATTTTGGGGTATCTTCTTTTTCGTTCTCAGTATTTTCTTGTTTTAATTTCTATGGTTAATTAGTTAACCAATTACTATACCTAAAGAGTGTCAGAATTCAATGATTAGGCTGGGAGCCCTGTGTAAATATCAAATAAAAAATATTTTCCTAAAACTATAAAAGATATTAATACTAAAAAATAATTGCTTCAACTTCTTTTAAAATTTGGAATGAAATTCATTGTTAATAAACAGAAAGTAGATGAGTGCCTTAAAAGTCATATGAGTGGGGGTGCTGAAAAGTTCTCAGGCTGAAATCTGACCAAAGGACTAAATATCAGAATTTTACTTATTTTTCATTACCTTTTTGTTTGGTTGAGAACTTTTAAGCATCTAATCAACCTGTTCTGTTAGTAATACATTAATTCCTGACTACTGACACAAAGCACAGCATATAGACAAAATGCTGCAATCTGTAAAGCAAATTTTTTGCTAAAAATGACAAAAAATCAATGTTTTAATCATGAAAGAATTTTTTCTTTTCAACAAGAATAGTTTGTTACTAAGTTTTACATATAATGTAAGTACCTTGCCAATAATTGTATTGTAGTAATACAATACTGATCTTTCTTTTTGGTGCTTTTGTTGTGACTACATTGTTTCAGTCATTCTGTTTTACGGCCTTCCTCAAGTGTAAAATTCACAAAGCCATAATTTTCTACTTTGCATTACTGAAAAGACTCTCTCTCTCCACTTTCTATGTGGATTGTACAGCTGAAGAATGTAGAATGAGTTGGTTAAAATGTTATGATAACAATAGAAATGACAATGAGATCAGTAGTTCAAAAATAGAAAAGGGTGTAAGGCAATGATGTGTCTTCTCACTGGATTTATTCAATCTGTACAGTGAGAGGCAATTCTAAGAGAATTAGAAGTCCTACCAGGATTCATTATTAGTGAATACACAATCTTAGCACCATAAGATATGCAGATGATACTGTTGATAGCAGACACTGAAAGGAAACTACAAAAGCTCGTAAAGAAGGTAGTAAAAAAAAGCAAGAAAAAAGGACTAACTATAAACTACAAGAAAACAGAATGCATGGTTATCAGCAAAAGGATGAGCCCAAAATGCAAATTATAAATCAGGGATACTAAAATCAAAAAGTACAAAAATTTGAATATGTGCGAAGTGTTCTAACAAAGGACAGAAAGTGGGATCTGAAGACATATTGGGATGGCTAGTACTAATGATTGTATTTTTGAAATGTATTGAAAATCAGAATGAAATGATATTGTTATTAGCAAGCGTTAGCAAGAGAAAAACTACTACTGACATAATTTATCCATTTTATCATTTTTGGAATCACAATCTTCAACACACACGTTTACAACATGAAAATCAGTTATTATTTTTTTTCTTTCATTGATAAATCTGTTAATTATTTTACACCCAGGATGAAACTGCTCCATCAGACAAAACAAGAGCTGCTATTTTGGACTATTTGCCAACTTTCTTTGTCTCATATTTACAACGAGAAAAGTGAGTATTTCTATAATTTTTCCCAGTTGAACTCAAATTACTGTTTTGAATACATTGTGATTGCAACCGTTCAAGTTTCTAGATAAAAAATCCTCTTTTATTCTACTTATCACTTAACTTAGTATCTTTTATTGTTTTAACTTTTACTTAATTGTATATTACATGTAGTCTTCAAGTGTGATTGAGTCTTTTTTTATTTTTACCTTCTCAATAAGAAAAGTTCTTTTTTTCTTTTTTTTATTGATAAATTCAAGCTGCAACTTTTGTCTTCATTCAAAGAAAATTTTTGGCAAGACTGGTTGTGGTGGGGAATTGATCAGCTATAATGCATAAAGTGCATGCATGCTAATTATTTATATTGAAGGCCTTAATGGCCAAAGGTCTTGAGCACTGTTTCACAAATAGAGTTAAATTGCATGCAATCTTTTTTGATAATTACATCACCATCATATTTGACACATATCTCACCATTTAAGTGTTATGAAAATCTTGTGTATGCTTAACTTGAAAGAAGGTCAAAATGGAATGATCACTATGATTATCAGATTTGGAGTGAAATTTTTAATCTTCTCATTGAAAATTGTGCATGCAATATGTCTTCTTGGGTGAGAACTAGCATTGAAGCTTTCATGCCATCATAGAAATACCAAGGGAAACTGCAATTTTCCACTTTGTTCAGTCTGCCAGTTCAGCTGCTATAGACCACTGAATTAATTCTTCTGATTATATCAATGTGATAGTTTGGATCATAAGAGACACCTCTTTGTATCCACTCATAAGTGTAAGTGTGTCCTCCTTGAGGCTAGGTCACTGTTCACTGATAGAATGAAACTAATCTCTCACAAATTTGGTTCTCATGATTATTGTTGGCTCTTTAAAAGTGTGTTAAACAAGGGTAAATCTTCAATCAGTTTGAATTATTATCTACTGAAGATAAAGCAAAATGCTTGGCTCATAAATTCTCTTCCAACTCTACTCTTTGGCTCATCAGGAGTATCTATGCCTGATTTTCCCCTAAAATGGAATCTCTACTGAGTGAGATATATATATATATATATATATATATATATATATATATATATATATACACACACACCTCTCTCCATGTTTTCTGCTACCATTTTTTAACTAGATCCCCACAAGGCATGTGAACTTGACAGTATCCTTGCAATAGTGTTAAAGAAATGGCTTCTGTTCTTTCTTTTATGATTTGCTGCTTCTTGCTTTCCAGCTTATTGGAGTTCCTTTTCTGTAGTTCACATTGTTAAGAAATCTGATGAACATTCTGATCCCTCAAATTGTTATCCTATTAGTCTTTTACCTCTTTTTAGCAACATACTAGAGGCTCTAATCAACTCCAAATTGATTAACCTTCTTGATTCACATGGCCTTCTTTCAGATAAATGAATGGTTTGGGCTTCTCTAGCTCAACTTCTGATGTGTTAACAATTATTACTGAATTTGTCTATCAAACTTTCAATAAGAATGGCAAAGCTCAGTCTGTAGTTTTAGATTAAGGCATTTGACCAGGTTTGGCATGCTGGTCTTCTTCATAAGCTGAAGGGATATGGTGTCTCTGGCTGAATATTTGACTTGATCCAGTCTTTCTTAACAAATTGTGTAATGAGTCATATTAAATGACAACTCTTCTAAATCCCTTTTCATTAATGCAGTGGTTCCCCAGGATTCTATCCTTGCATGTACATTGTTTATCTTCATCAACGACCTTCCTGATATCATCAGTCCCCAACTCGGTATTTATGCTGGCAACATAACTATTTACTTTACTCCTGTCTTAATAGTAAATCCAATAGATTTGATAAAGTAAAACTGGCAACTGATTTCGAAAATGACTTCAAATCAGTTTTTAAATAGTTCAAGAAATGACATGTAACTTTTAATGCCCCCAAAATAAAATTGCTATCTTTTAGTTATTACAGAGAACTATTTTTTCCTTCCATCAGTATAGCTATTGCTAACCTTCTGGAGAGCAACTTATTACACCTTCTTTGTCTTAAGATTCATTTGACATGACGTGGAATGATTATATTGAATCAATTGCTAGGCCTGCTGCTAGGAAATTTGGTTTACTGTGTTGTACCAGACAATTTTTTCTCATCAGAATCCATCTCACACATTTATAGATCTACCATTTATTCATACATTGACTATTGCTGCCATATCTGGTCTAGTTCTCCTGCTATATATCTAGAGATTTTTGACAAAATCCAAAGAAGGGTCTGTACAGTCCTTACCTAGCATCTTCAGTCACTTCCCTACCACCATGAAATGGCTTCTCTGTGTCTTTTATATAAATATTTTCATGTCAATTATTCTAATGAGCTTTCCTCTTAGAATTTAATTTCAAAACTACTACTAAAATGTTTTACAAGTTCATGTTCTAGCCTCTTTTCTGATTTTTGCCATAACTGCCACCCCTGCTTTCAAATCCAGCTCCCAAACCCTTGATCCTTATCAGAGATAAGAATATATTTTCTGACAAACGAAAGAGCTGGAAAATATAAAAAGGAATTTGACCACCCTTACTCTGACCATGGTGCCATAAAGTCAGGGTGTAACGCTCACAACTTGTCAGACCCTTGCTCCCAAAAACTAACTCTGAAACCTTTGATTCTTATCAGAGATAAGAATATATTTTCCATTGAATGAAAGAGCTGGGAAAGTGTATAGCAATTTTGGGAGGAAAAATTCCTGATATTTCTGAGCCTTCTAATCTCAATAAATATGGAGAATATGTGCCCTTTTGGCAGTGAGTATTTGACATCGTCTGTGATAACATCAGGTCAGCGACAGTAACACTAGTCTTCTCTGGAACCTGTTTCAAGAAAGAAATCTACATGCTGGGCTCTAAAGACAGAATGTCAGCCCTCTACTAAAAACTAATTGAGATCTGCTTCCTTGGATATAGAAATTCCTCTCATCAGCCTACAAACTCACTTAACTACATATAACAGATATTCTGATTGTTTCCCCCTTAACAAAAGCTCTGAAGAAATCTATGTGAGTATTAACCCTTTAAGAACAATTTACTTGCTTAAAGAACTTTTAGGCACTCAGAAATGTTTTGAGCAAGTCTTTATATGAAAACTTTTTCTTCCTTTTAAGTTAAAGAAATATTCTTCTCCCTTTCTTTCTCTCATATTTTGTGTATATCCCTTTACCGTTTTTGTGTCTGTAAATAAACATTTTCTTCTTCTGTTGTTACACCCTGAGCTAGAGTTTGCGTTTTTATTTTTCTGCCAAAAAGAGATAATTGTCTGCTCTAAATATTCAAGTTGTTGTTGCTTTTAATGATTCTGTCACCTTTAACCTTAACTCTTTTGTGTAGGAAAGCCAGGACAAATTTCCCATATTCCTCCTTGTTACTTCGAACACATGAGTTTAAGCGTACTACTAGAATGCAACTAGGTTTTATCATTTTACTGTTGAAATAGCCAGATGTAGCCATAAGTTCTCTTCTAATATTTTCTTTCACTTCTTGCCTGTGGAACAGTCTTCTGGTTTTTTAATTCCCTGTGTATGATCTTCAAAAATTTAAATGCATTACCAATCACTATCTTCAGTTTTTCCGTTCTTTTAGGAGCCTTTCTCCTCACTAACATTTCATTTTATTTCACACTTAGTAACCCCTTGTGTCTTAGTGGCCTTATCACCTTACTTGGTGTGAAATGATTAAAAAATGTATTGTTGTGCATTATTTGAAAATAATCTTGAGAAATAGAAAAAGGAGGCACAAAGTGGAACAGTTGGTAACAATATTGAATTTGGTAATGAAATTTTAATATTGGTTAGATTTACTTTTGTACTAAGTGTTGACATGAACCTAATCCTTCTTGCAATAATACTTTTTGTTTTCTCTTTCTTTGTTATGCTTCACCACTTCAACATTATTAGTCTTATTTTTTGCTTTGTCTGTTTAGTATGCATTCATTCATTTGTTTTTAAACCTGCCTTTTTTTTTCTTTTAGGGACAATTCTGAATCTTGTAGAATGATGTTCTTTGCCCTAAACAAGCAAATTGGCATCACCGTGGAGACAAAATCACTGTGTGGCCCTTTAAAAGAGTCTGAT